AAAAATGCGCTGAATATGCGTTCTGTGTGAATGGCTTGGTTTCGTTTTTTCACCTAATCAAGATCTTCTTCGCATTGAGCTTCTATATTTCTCTAATATGTTAAATGCATAACAGCAGCGGCGCGTCTCGTGGGCTAGACTAACAAAACATTAAAATGCAACAACGTCACTCACATCATCACCGCATCTCGTGCGCGTCCATATTAGTAAATCGCAACGTCTCAAATCGCGATTTCGGTTCGATTTCGATTAATCGCACAGCCCTAATTGTCCCCTATTAGTTATCCTACTCTATTAATTATCATAGCAGATGTGTTTACAGTACATTTTAAGCTAGCATTTGAGGTCTATATTTGCATTGGTCCATTTGTTTTGTTTTGTTTTTGGACAGGTAAGAATAGCTGTCATGGTCACTGGCGATATATGAGAGGAGGCACTTGATGAATTTATTGAAGATTTTCATGTGACAGCAGATGCTGCTCGGGCTGCAGCTGGCTTTCATACTCCCTGACGCAGGTGGTTCCTGTTCCATTAGTGTCTTTAAGGCGAGAAACATATGCAAATGCGGACGTGAATGCATGGCCGGTGAATTGCAAGTGTGCTACACAACGTGTGTTTTTGCATTACTTTGGCCGTAACAAACCTCAATACTCAAGGAAACGATAAAGTTAGCTTTAAATGTTTGTGCCATTAATCTAGATGTGTTATTATTCAGATTGCTAGCTATAAACAGGTCATTTAATTAAGTTAATTTGCCAAGCAGGCTTCTCCTCCCACTGTTGCTCAGCAATGACAGTAGTTGGTCTGAAAGAGAAAAATGACTGCAGAAGATGTTTACATTAGTTTACAATAATGCATGTTAACAGACCTCAATAAACACTGTAACAAATGTATTGCCAGTTAGTTAATGTTAATTAGTGCATTAACAAATGTTAACTAATGGAACGTTATTGCAAACTGTTACCAAAACTTTATACCGTTTGCAAGAAAAGTTTCAATTTAATGACTGTAAAATGTCAGGTGGTGTAACCATCAAGTAAATTGTAACAACAAATTTTCATTATTAATTATTATTTTCAAAAAATGTCTTAAAATATTTTTCAAGATAAAAATTATTTAAAAATTACACATCATGCATTATTAATTGATAAATATCGTAAGCATATTAATACGTTTTTGAGGAGTCGCTCCACATGACATTTTATAACCAACTAACCTTGATTCATCATAAAAAGATGAAATTATCTGATATTTTAAGAGACTTCTTGACTTTGACACTGTGATATAATTTCCTTTTTTTTTTTTTTTTTTAGTTGTACCACATGACTTTGATTGGGCGAACTAAAGATTTTCAAAAATGAATTAGTGAATTAATTTCATTAAAATATAGTTGCATAGTCAAAATAGTCATTTACCCAACAATGAATGATATTGAGGTTTTGTAGCTAGAACCGACACTTTTTTTCATTATTATTATTATTTTTTAACATACACTCTTCTGACAGGGAATTTTTGCACATAAGTCAAAGAACAACAAGAAGGAACAAACTTGTTTTTGTCCTGCATAGTTTTTCCTTACAAGAAACAATGAATAAGGAACTGCCTGATGAAAGACTAAATGAGATGAATCAACGTTTATGATTGTTGACGAAGTGCTGTCTAAAATAAAACAATAAAAATCTGTTGCCTTTGTTTTTCCCCAGACACCATGTGCACCTTGATGTCTCTTTGTGACCCGCGTCAGTGATTTTATCACTGATCCACTGTCTCTGCATTGGTTGTCGTTGCACCCTCATCCAGAGAGGAGTTCTGGGCACCTCCATGGCAGGGGAGAAGGGCTGTCGCAGTGCCATGGATATCAAGCGGCTAGCGGGCCTTCTGCAGCGTGGAGCCGGGCGATTGCTGGTCATCGACAGCCGGACTTTCTCTGAGTACAATGCCTCGCATGTGCACGGCGCCGTCAACGTCTGCTGCTCCAAACTGGTCAAGAGGAGGCTTAAGCAGGACAAGGTGTCAGTTACCGAGCTCCTCCAACCCAACAGAAAGGTCAAGGTATCAAGTGTGTGTTTGAGAGAGTGTGTGGCTAGTTTATATAATCGAGAACTATTGGAACTATTGGTGGCATCAAAAAGGAGGTTGATGTCTGTATGCGGACAGCTGTGAGCCTTTGAAAGGTTCAATTTACAATGCTGATAGTTTTGTGTGGACTTACCAACCGTGTCGCTACACAATATTGTAATGAACTAATGTTTACTTGTGAACACCCATTAAAGAGTCCAAGTTTTGGCACCAACGTGCAACATCTGCAGTCAAATTTATATGCACGTTTAATATTTGACACTTCCTCATGTAAAATGAGTTTGTAATTAGGTGTAGTAGTCAGTTTGAAGTTGAAGAAAATGTTTGAGAGGGTTAGATTGGATCAAGGGTCTTTGGCTAGCAGCTAGCATTTCTAAATTTGGAGGACCATTATAGGTTTATTGGTTATCAGAGGCTCTGAAATTGGAGACTTGAGTTTTCCATGACTTCTACATCGAATATGACATCATTTTTCCCACCCGACTGGCATGCCAAGTCTTTATATTTTTAGGCACTCTGTGAAACTGACAGAACTCTTAGGGGGAAATCCAACCACTCACAGATGTCACGTAAAACTCCATGCCACAGCTGATGAGGTCAATGTCGAAAACCGATCCGCCTTTATTGCGCACCTCGCTTTCTGAAAAAATCACGCCACATTGGGAATGCAGTGCGATTTTCAGTCACACCACTAATGAAAACTGAAAGCCAACACTGCAAAGACCCTCTGTTTTTGAGGGCATAGATTCTTGTCTTTGTAATTCTTGGTTCATGAGATCAATTTTGTTGGTTCCTCATATTCAGATTCATGAATGAGTGAGCGACCTGCCATGCATGCTGTTCACCTTGTGGTTTTCCGGTTTTTTATTAATTTATTTTTTATTTTTTTAACTGCAGCTGTGAGTTGTCATTCCCTCCATTTTTGCAATAAAATTGATGGCAATTTGTAAGATGTAAACTGTTGTTGGGTTTGCAGGAAATTACTTCCGAACCCATTTCAAACTCTGTTTATCAGATGCTAATGTTTGTCTTATCTGTTAATTTACACAATTCTCACATACAAACTTATTCAGCACCTCTTGATATTTCGGGTAGCCTACCTCTTTTAAAACAGTATACAAAATTATCTTTTTTCATTTAATTTTATATAAAAATTTAAAAAAAACAGTAATATGGTGCTTCTCAGCTCTGGGCCTTTGTGTGCTATTTGTTTCCAAAAAATGGGCACTTTGATCCCGATCTGCTGGCCAAAACCAGTTCCATCTGAACTTAACAGAGTGGCACTGTTTTCTTGGGTCACTCTTTCTCTGCATTTCCCGTTTCTTTCCATAGCCCAGCCTAGAGGCTGTGTGGCTTTTATTATCTCCCTCACTAAAGAGGATAACGCTCGTGATTAATGCAAGTCCTGGATAAAGCTGGAGCTATCTGGGTGTAAGTGGGGCGAGGTGGGATGGGGTGAATTCTGGAAACTCTTTGTTATTGGATGAGCATGACATCATAATCTTTAGTGTGGCCACTGGCAGAGCGCTTGCTGAGCACGTGCACATCGTCTACACGACTAGCGCAGGATCTAGACAAAACCCTACCCCCTTCATCTCCCCCACTGCTTTGGACAGCTGCCATTGCCAGAAGTTGTGGCATCAATGTGTGAGCTGAAAGTAACGACATCACCGCAACCAAAGGCCACCAGTGTGGTCCATTGTGAGTGCGAATAAAGAAAGGAAGTGAAAGAGAGTATTAATGGATGAGCAGCACACATCCACACTGAGATAATGCCGAGGTCCCCCATGGCTCTGTGTTCGGCCCATTTCAGATTACATCAGTGGAAGGCACCATATGCACCGATTGCCTGACATGCATTGTAAATGGGTCAGTGTTAAGTGCAGTAGATAGAGTGCAGTGGTACAGGAGCAGGACTTCCTCTGTAGCCACGAACAGTCTTGGCTTATGGTAATCTGTGCTGCTGTATGTTCCATTGAGCTGGTACTGACAGATGGCTATGCAGTCGCCCAGAGCGAAGACAGCCGAATAGGCAGATCTTAAGAATGTACGGATTGCACAAAGACAGGAAGCTTATTCTCCAGGCCTTTATCTTGTACTCTTTGTAGAACATCACCTTTTTTAAAATTTCACTCCGAAATTAATAGGGTTGTATATTTTCCAAAGAAAACATCAATGGTGCTTGTCCGTGCAAAACTCGTCGGCATGATAATAGGGTGATGCAAGGCGTTGCTATGTGGTTGCTAGTGTTGTCTGTGGGAGTTGCTAGCTTGTTGTGGGTAGGGACTAAATCAAATGAGCCTACTCTCAAGTCTCTATGATATTTTGATGCCATGTTTTGGCATGGGTTCCTTTTTCAATATAAGTCTTTGGGATATTTTTTGACTGTTGTCCCCTAAAATCTAGAGGTCTCTTCAGTTCCCAAACCTTAAGTATGAGCAATATGGTTTTGCTTAAAAAAAAGTTTTGGTAGTTAAATTTGGGTCATTGAGCAATTGAAATCAGTATATGATGTTCAGAAACTGAAAGTTATTTATTTATTTATTTTTTCAAACATTTCAGTGCACCACTACTGTACTGCAAACTTTAATTAAAATCAAACTATTTCCAGTTTTATTTACAAATTGCTCAATTCAGCATCATGGAAAAAGGAAGCAAAATTATAGGAATCCAAAAATGGGTATATATTGGATAATGTGATTGCTTCTGGTTTAAAGAAAAATAATTTTCAGTAATATTATTAATATAATTGCATTGACATTATTGAATAAGAACACAATTTGAACTAAATTGAGTTGGATAATGACACTAACTTTGGAACATGGATATTTATAATAATACATATTAGGCTATACATTATACAGTACATTATGTATTTCTAATTTGGAAAAAAAAAAAAAAGCTAAATATTATACATTATACTGTATATTTTATTATTGTCTAAAATAATAAATAAAATGATAGATATTATGCAGTATCTAGTATAGTATGTATTTATTGTCTAAAATAATCAATAAAATGATAGATATTATGCAGTATACAGTATAGTATGTATTTATTGTCTAAAATAATAAATAAAATAATAAATATACATTACACAGGCCATTATATATTTATTGTCTGAAATAATTATTAAATAATAGATATAATTATACAGTACATTATATGCTTATTGCCTAAAATAATTAATAAATAAAATAATATATAAAGATATTATACTGTATACAGTACTTTGTTTATTGATTAATTAAGATGATTAATAAAATAATAGATATTAGTAGTTTCCTGTCCTGTAATTTTCTACACTGGTTTTGATGTGAAAAATGACTCCTACGTTGTTGACTGTGTCCTGATGCGCCTACTGAACGTGTGAAGGGACCAAGGACATACTTGTCAACAAGTTAAATTCTAACAAATGAGGCAGGCGAGAAGTGAATGGCACTGGTCAGACGGTCTCAGGATACATGTGTCCATACAGGCCCCCGACAGGAGGTGACACAAATAGAAATCGAACGTGCCATTTCTTAAATCCTGAAGTTACAGCATGTAAACGATCTGGATGTGTTCCAGATCTCTGCAGTGACCTTGGGACCATCCTGTGGCTCTTGGAAAATGTAGCTATTTGACACGGTCGTCTTTGTGGCACCTAACTATTACTGATCCTCTCCATGGCTTGGTTTAGTATTAAGTGGGTACCTAATTACAACCCCATAGCATTTGCTGACAGGATTTTCGAAGTGTCTCTGGCTATGTTCGGAATAGCATATTACCATACTATTTTTAATATTTCTTGAGTGTGCAATATGTACTGTATACTATTCACATTGTGTACATTTCTGTACGCATGAAATACCTGAATGAAAACAACAATAGTACAGTTGTAATTTAATGCAACTGTATTTATTATAGTTCCAATAGTTGCACTCTTGCAATTTTATCTGAGTGAAAAGTTGTGTAAAAATATTTAATACATTGTATATTTATTTTATATATTACACACTACATTATATAATTTAATGGATAAATAATGATGAATAAATGATACATAATATATATTATACTGTATATTAGCCTGTATATTTATTGTCTAAAATAATAAATATTATGCATTATACAGGCCATTATATATTTGCTTTCTTAAAATCAATATACATTATGTTGTACATTGTTTATTGTCTAAAATAGTTTTTTGTCTTGTACTAGATATTTATTGCCTAAAATAATGTCATGCATTATGTAGTAAATGACATATTTATTGTCTAAAATAATTAATAAAAAAACAATATACTGTACATTATACAAGCTATAATATATATATTTATTGTCTAGAAAAATTAATAAATAAAATAATAGATATTGTACATCATAAAGCACATTGTGTTTGTCTAAAATAATTAATAATAAAATAATAATATGTATTATACTATATACAGTACAGTATGTTTTTCTAAAATAATAAATTAATAGATATGACATATTATACAGTATATATTGTCTAAAACAATTAAGTACTTAATACAGTACATTATACAGGTCATAATATGATTATCTGTAATAATAAAATAAAATAATAGATATTATACAGCACATTATATATGTACTGTCTAAAATAATAAAATGATAAATATTATGAATGAATAAATGAATGAATTAGGGTTGCAAAGGGGCAAAGAAATTTTCCGGAAACTTTCCATGGGAACTTCGTCTGGGGAATTTTGGAAATATTCCAAGTTTGAAACTTACCAGGAATTTATGGGAATTACTTGGAAATTTGGGGAAATTTATAAAACTATTATATACAAACATAAATATAAAAATTTAGTTTGATCATAGGCTCCAATACAAGACTATCTAAATCTAATACTAATACAAATTTTAAAAATTGTATTTTTTTATTTTTTGGGGGGAATCTGTGATGCTTTTTTCAGGATTTATTGATGAATGAAAACTAGGGCTGCACGATTAATCGCATGCCATTATCATGCGCATCTCGTCAGTAAAGCCGGTTCTGTGATTAGTAGTTAATCTCCATCACGTGCTTTCAGATGGAGCGGCATTTAATACCAGCCAGATGAATCGCCTTCGATTATGAATGCGATATTGCGTAGCTTGTCAGTGATCTATGGCTCGGTGTATTAAATGCCGCTCCATCTGAAAGCAGGTGATGTAGATTTACTACTAACCACAGAACTGGCTTTACTGACAAGATGCGCATGACAATCACATGCGATTCATCGTGCAGCCCTAATGAAAACTTGTGAACAGTGTTTATTCAAAATAGAAATCTTTTCTAACAATATAAGTCTTTACTATTACTTTTTTATTAATTTAACACATCCTTGTTGAGTAAAATATCTTGATTTTACTGGCTAGCTAGCTACTGTATAAACACTTTTTGGTATTTACTAGTAAAACTTGAATCCAATAGATCAAATATATTTAGAATATCAAAACTTAAATGTAGTCAACGGGCTCAAATGCAGCAAGTGTGGCTTCAGAGAAAATGCAGGGGAATCCCCCTCTTAGGTGACTAGAGGGGATTGTGTGTGGGGGAGGGTCATTTTTCCCGTTAATTCCCATATTTATATAGCGCTTTATTGTGTATTGTTGTACACCCAAAGCGCTTTACAATCATGTGGGGTGGGGGGGGGTCTCTCCTCAACCACCACCAGTGTGCAGCATCCACATTATACAGGCCATTACATATTTTAAATGTTCAGCACGCTGCATTGAATATTCCACAATGCAATGCACTCGAATTGGCCTTCTATTTCCAGTGTGAAATATGAGCTGTAAAATATTTTTCTTGGCTATGTCGGCCTGTGAGATATTTTTACACAAAATTAGATTTTAA